CCCCCCCATGGAATGTCACCATCCCTAAAGTGTGAATTTCATGGCTGATCTCCGGCAGACATCCAGGTATCAGAAACATGCAATTCTTCCAAAAGGCGGAAAATGTGGGCGTGAATCTTATCATCCATCTTCATGTTTTCTGAGGCCCTGAGATGTAGTTGTGAGGCAGTTTATTAGACACCTGACCTGCCCGTGGGAGACATATTTGTCCAATTGATTATTTTGAAATAACCTGTTCTGGCTGAGGGCCACACAGCGCCCCCTGCAGGGTGCTGTGGCCTGAATGGCCACTCCAGTTCTTCAGATAGCAGGTTGATTCACCTGGAATCGCAGGTGCAAGGAAGGTCATCAGAATTTGCTCACAAACCTGCGAGACTTCAGATCTCTGACCATCATCTGTTCCTGTGAGACCCCTGACTCTGACCCCACCCCCCCATCACGGAAAGCATGTCGGCAGATGTGCCACCACCTGGACGTCCTGCTCCCAGAGGAGAGGGGGATGCTGTCAGGGAGACGGTGCGGGTGGCATAAGCAGGGAGTTCCTACCTTCGAGGGCCTACAGGGGGCGCACTACACTCCATCGTCACTCAACCCCAGCCGGCGCTGCACCATGAAAGCCGCATACCTCAATCATCCATGACCTCTGATGTGTTGCTATGTGGCACTGTGTCCTCAGTGGGGCGCTACACCATTATTCTTCACCCCAGCCCCTTTCCTGCCCTCCCCCAAACCTCTCTTTCCATTTACAGTCAAGGAGGATCCCTCATTGAAGAGCACCGAGACAGTCTTTTAGTTACCATGGAAACGAATAAAAAGACCTGTTTGGACAAGTGAGCTTGGGTGGGGGGGGGGGGGGGGGAGTGTAGATCCTGTTTTATTTAAAGGGATCTCACCCTTTTCTAATTAGTTTTGCCTAAAAGTCCTAGAAAGTACCTTGAAAGCATGAGAATCCCGGAGGGGTCATGGAGGCGGGGGTGAACTATCAGCTGGATCACCAGCGGGTCCGTCCCTCCCGCACCCCCCACTCAGACATGGGCCAAAGCTCTTCCCCAAATGATAACGATTCTTTTTATCGATGTTCTGTGTATGTGAGGGGGGGGGGGGGGGCAGTGACCGGACTGGGGGCGGGGCAGCGGCAATGACGGGGCTGAGGGTGGGGTGACGGCAATGAAGGGGCTTTTCCTCTTTTGCTCTCCATGCCAATTCTGCAGGAATGTCACTTGTCCTGCCTGCTACATCGTCATCACAGCTGCACAGTTGAACTTTTCAGATGAAGCCAGGGTGCTCTCCGTCACATAATTTAAGCATAAGGGGGAAAAAGAGCGAATGTTATTAGAGGGGATAACTAGCTCAGTCTTCAGGAAGGCTCTGTGTCGCTCAGGCTGTGGGTGGAATGTGGCTGTTTCAGTTAATTCATGATGACCTTTTGGGTGAAAATCTCATCAGTACACATACCGCTGCTGCCTCTCTGTGTTTCAGTATGAACAGGTCGGCCAGTGAGAAGCAGCGTCTGCTTATCCAGCCATGACCCAGGGACCCAGACGAGGCTTGAGTCGGCCTCCCTACACTTACACGTACCTGCCAGGGGGATAGAATCCAGCATATGGTACCAGGTCAAGAACCAGTCAAACAGACTGACAGAGCCTGGACCCCGCCACACACAGACTGTGCTGTGCCACGTGGGAGAAGTCAGCTTCAATTCATTTATGGACATTAAGAGGACTTGCATCTGCTGTGAAAAAGCCACCCATCTGATCCCTGTTTCGCCTGCATGGTTTATGCCGTGTGAAAGTACCGTATTCAGTTAAAAATGCTCACTTTTTATAGGAACAATTTTTTATGGGAAGGAAACTGCTGTATATACTGCTTTACTGAGTGTGTTTATTTACTGTATGGTCAAAAGTAAATTCTGCAGATAAATTAGGACAGAGTGAGCCAGAGACACAAGGTATACGAAACTGCAGGAGATATGAACCCGTATCGGTACCTAATCACCTCTCAGGATACATTTCCCTACCCTGGGCTACATGCCAGCACCCAAGCCTGGGCACTCTGCAGACCCCCACCTCAGCCAGTCTCATCTACCACCGGACTGGAGAGGCAGGGACCTGAGAAAATGGGCCAACCATCACCAGCAACACTGAGAATGATGCTGAATCATACAGAGACAAACTGGCAGCTGCTTTTCACTGCTCCTGGTGAAGCCATTAACCGTTCTGAAAAAAGCTTCCCATCTTTCGGTATTATGAGCATTTGAGCATCGCATGGCAAAAATCCGAATGAAAGGAATTCAAGTTACTGAAAACGGCAATCCTCAGGTTACAGGTCTATGTGCTTAGCCGCTGCTCCACCTGCAGGCCTGCATTACCTTTGCATGTAGGCAGTGCCTTGTCCCACGCAGGTTTCTCGTCGGCCCCTATCACACAGGTGACGGTGGTGGGGCCTGATGCCGTGTAGCCTGAGTCGCACTGGTAGGTCACCGTGGAGCCCAGCTTGAAGTCGGACCCGAGGCGAGTGCCATTCATGATGTTTCCTGGGTCGAAACACGCCTCCCGTGGCTTCTCTGGGGGGAAATAAGCCATTGGGTAAGTGAATGACAGGCTGAGCCATATTGTACAAGCAGTGAATTACCCAGTGTACATGTGCATTTAAATCTGTATTCATTTATTTTTTATTGCAATATGTCTGTATTTATTGTCATATTCGTCATTGATTTATTTATTATTATTGCTATATGTTATACTTGTTCTTGATACAAACATTTTTGCATGTGGAGCTGTGTGTTGCCTTTTTGTGTGGCTGTTTACTGTGCAGTCTGTAACCACAAACAATTTCCTCAGGGATAATAAAAGTTGTCTGATTCTGATATTAGGTTGAATGAACATGAGTCATTAGTCACTGTGGTAATAAGTGTAAAGCCTTACAAGTAAGTCAGGACAGCAGGAAGCTAAACCTGAG